TTTAACCTACAAGACATGGCCAGCAGGTATCACGTACTGAAAAGCTCGAGGCGGAGGAGCTTCCCCATGGTCGCGGTGGCCCCGACACGCGGAGCGGGATGTTGTCGAAGAGTCGCGTCAAATGGAGGGGATTCGCAAGGGCAATTGCGCGGTCAAAGGGCCCGTAAAAATAGTGGCGCGACGGTCAGGACGAAAACGCGCGCAGAAATAGATACGAGAAGAAAAAGAAGTGTTGGTGAAGCAGTCTTCAATCGCGCCAGGACCATAACCGAACGGCCTGAATTTACCATCGCGACGGGAAGGGCGCCGTTATGGTGGGGGAGCGGGTGCACGTGCCATATCTGCCTAAAGGGTTAGGGTTGGTTGGCGCTCTGTAGCCATGTGTAAGATGACGGTCTGCTTGAAGAGCGAGTGTAGCTCAAGAGCTATTCTAGTTGCTTAAGAGCTATGCTAGTTTCTCAAGAGCTATGTTAGTTGATATTGCTTTGGACTATGGTTGGCGCATTCGTGAGCACTACGCTGTAGACAAGTAAGGCAACGCACATTGTATTCTGAACCATAGGTACCTGACAAAAAAGTTAATCTGCCTCGAAAGATAGTTCGTAATATGCCTTGAAAGATAGTCAGTATGCCTTCAGAGATAGTCAAGAGGCCTATCAACTATCTTCCCCAGCATAGCTCAGAATATGGATATTTGTTGATTTGATACTTTTGCAGTGCCAATTATTTGTCCACAGCATACACTCATGAAGTTGCTGTTTCACGGAGATGATTGACATGTGAAAGGTAAACATCCGACTATTAATGCAAAGCTGCCTTTTACTTCCAAATGGGCACTCATGTCTGGCTACCTGAATATGGAGTCATCTGATCGAAGCAGAGCTGCGATGCAACCGGCAGGCAATTTGAGGTCGAAATGGAGGTCCACCTCGTCAAAGGACGGGACCGAAGCCAAGTCCTGTTCCATGATGGTGGGTGCCGTTTCAAGCCTTCTGGCCACTGAGCGAAGCCCCTCAGAACACGCCCAGCGCTGCAGCCGGTGAGGGCAGGGGTCTGGGGGCCTGGGGCAGACGCTAAATATGCAGCAACAACGTCAACACCACCTTTCTCCTCCGCTTTCTTGGTTGTCCAAGTCAGGTCTGGTGGTTGCATCACAAGCTGCCAACTCTGCCCACGACGGTGTCACCCTCACCCTCACCTTCACCTTCTTAACTCATGTCTGACTGATTTGTTGTCCACCTGCCCCTCTCTGACGTTGCTCCATCTATTCACTTCAGGCAGCGCACCAGGCACCAAAGCTGTTCCACTTTCTTTTAGACCCAACCTCTGCGACAAAGAGGCCACCGGCCACATATCTCCCCTCCACTCCTCGACTGAAATATTGGACACGGTCCGCGTTTAAGGATACTTTACAGACATTCGAGATCAAGACCGCAATCATGGCCGAACCAGAAGTCGCATCAACTGACAGCGAAGCTGTCCCTACACCAGAAAACAGCACCCCCCTCGATGATGCCTCTCCTCTCGAAGAACATGTCCCCTCCATCGATACGCCAACCCTCGCGCCCACCTCCCCCGAGTCCCGTCTCTCTCGAAACCCTTCATTCTCCGGCAGCAGCAGCACCTACCAAGAAGACTGGGACTCCAACTTCCCCCCTCTGGACCGCCTAACTGTCTTGGAGCTGCTCGATAACTTCACCCTCCCGCAACAGCTTGAGAAACTCCAGAAGGGCATCTCAGCCCAGACTGAGAAAGTGCGCAAGTCCCGCGAAGCCTTCAACACCAAATCCCGCCAAGCCCGCGAGCGCATGGTAGACGAATGGCGCCGTCGTGTCCCCTCCGCTGAAGAGCAGCTCGACCGGTACCGCAAGCGCATGAGGAACTCGGTCGACAAACTCGGGAAACGATGGAACGACACCAAAGCTATCACCCTCCGCGAGAAGATCTCGTTCATCTTCGGTGTCATGAACATTTTTGTCTCGGGGTATCTAATCGGCGGCTGGCCAGAGTACATGCACTGGTGGTACACCATCCAGATCCTGTACTTTATGCCTATTCGCTTCTACACCTACCACAAGCGGGGATACCACTACTTTCTCGCCGACCTCTGCTACTTTGTCAACTTTCTCCTGTTGTTATCCGTTTGGGTCTTTCCAAAGAGTAAACGGCTGTTTACAGCCGTGTACTGCCTCGCATTTGGAAACAACGCCGTGGCAATCATCATGTGGCGCAACTCGCTGGTCTTCCACTCGTTTGATAAAGTCACCTCGCTCTTCATCCACATCATGCCCTGCGCGACGTTGCACTGCATCGTTCACTTAATCTCCCCCCAACACCAAGCCTCTCGCTTCCCAGCAATTTACACAATCAAGCACTCTCCCGCTGGCTCGCCAACCGCTTACGCCAACGTCCTGAGCATGCTAGCCTGGTCCACAATCCCGTACGCGATCTGGCAGTTGAGTTACTACTTTTTTATCACCGTCCGCCGGAGAGACAAAATCGCCGCCGGCCGCCCGACATCCTTCACCTGGCTCAGGCAATCGTATTCCAAAGTCTGGATCGGAAAGTTTGTGTTGGGGCTCCCGGAGGCGGGGCAGGAGCCAGCGTTCATGTTTATACAATATGCATACGCGGTCCTGACGATGCTACCGTGCAGCCTGTGGTTTTACTACAGGTGGGCGAGTGCGGGTTTTTTGGGAGTGGTTTTTGTTTGGTCGGTGTACAACGGGGCGACGTATTATATTGACGTTTTTGGAAAGAGGTTTCAGAAGGAGCTGGAGGCGATGAGGAAGGAGGTGGAGAGGTGGCAGGGTGAGCATGAGGGGTTGGTTGGTGGCGGCGGGGGGAGTGGTCATGGGGAGGAGAAGAAGGTTGGGCTTGGGGAGGGGATTAGTGGGAAGGTGCTGGATGAAAGGAGGGAGGGGGATGAGGATGGGGGGAGTGGGTTGGATAATATTCCGCTGTTGAATGATGAACGGCCGGCGGCGGCGATGGTTACGGGGTTGGAGGTTGATGATGGGGGGGCGAGGGATGTGGCTAGGGAGAGGAGGCAGGGGAGGGGGGGGATTTAATTTTGTTTTTTGAGGAGGGAAGGGATGGATGGGTTTTTTTGTTTTTCATTTGTGGTCTCGCGTGTGTGTGTCTGGCGTTGTTGTTGTTGTTGTTGTTGTTGTTGTGGTGGTGGTGGTGGTGGTGGTTGTTGTGGTTGTTGTTGTGGGAATAGGTTAGATTGTGGATTTTGGTTCGCGATATATACCCCCGCTTCTTTTTTATTGACATGAGAGAATAATGAGTCTGTTGCAAAATTATGTTTACTTTCGATGAGAATGTGTCAACGTGCTG